AAAAAAAAAAAAAAAAAAAAAAAGTGAAGGGGCGTACTTTGAGTATCTTTAGGGAGATTAATGGCAGAGTTTCTTTTACTTTAATAAAATTTTATTTAAATATTCACTGTTTTGATCAGCCCTCATCAATCAATTTCTGTCAAATAAAAACATTACTGTGTGTCCTCACCCACCTTATTCCCCAGATCTGGCACTTTGCAACTTGTGGCTCGTCCTCAAAGTCAAAATGAACATGAAGGGTAAACATTTTTAATCAGTTTAGGACATTGAGGCAGCCACACAGTGCAAATAAAGACACTCATGAAGGAAGAAAACTGCTTCAGAAAATAGTAAGAACAAATGGCAATATGTCTTTTGCTATAATAATTTTTAAAACTGGTATTTAAACCTCATTGGGTAATACATTACATTTTTTAAAAAATTAACCATATAGTGGGGAATAATTTTAGTATACTTATACAGCACTGTATTGTAAAGAGGCTGAGAAAAAAAAAGTTCTTACAAACAGGATAATCCCAGCATCCTCACAAAATTACATAAAAATTTCTTCAAGCAGATGACCAATAGATATTTTTAATGATATCCATATTTTGTCATTTAGAAGCTCATTACAAAATGGAGTCTATTATAGGTCTAGAAATACCTGCTGTTAAGAACTATCACACGCTCTTAAAAGGAATGACTTACTCTAGAAAAAGCCAAAGGAGTTCTTGAGAAGGAATCTAATCCATCCTAGAAAAATGCATTTCTAGATCATACTTTTTGGAGTTTTGAATGAAATAAGACTGTATTATATTATCCATTTATCCCATGACTACTCACACTTACTATGAAGACCTTTTACATTTTCTATTTCTGATTTTTATTCTTCCTAATGAAGTTGAAGCTTACTGACCATATTTTAGGTTCTAAAATACAGCAATAAGCAATGCTTATGTAAAGCACAAGATTGTCTTATCTCAAAATTTTGCTTTTCTAAATGAAATAACCCTAGTTTCTACATTATTCTTCTGAGGTAGAGTCTAACCATAGAACTGAAACAGACCACAGTGCGTACCAAGCTCGTGGCTTACAGTGATGCATCTGTGTTCACACCGTACCAACTTTGCCCACAAAACTACACAGGAATGAAAATGCAACACAAAGGAAGTGAAAACAATGCCCCACAATATTTGCTTCTTGCATTGTATGAAACGGTTCAATGACCACATCTATCTATCTATCTATCTATCTATCTATATCTGAAGCTTTAATTTTTGGAAGTCAAAAATTATCTTTTGGAAGTCAAAAATCTTATCATTGAAAGATTTGGGAAGCATTGTGTTATAAAATTTTTGAAACCACATACAAGTCTAGTATTTTCTTCCTCATCCCACTTCATGTAGTTGTTACAATTAGGCAAATGATACTATGAGTTTATAAACTTGGGACTGTAAGTAATATAAGCTATAAGCATATTAAATCAAGTCACTAAAGAACCGTCCCATATATAAATTGAATAGGACACTTATTTTCAAAGAAATTAAAGCATAAACCTTACACATGTAAAAATTATAATGAGGGGCATTGTGTAAAATAAAAGGTTAAAGCAAAATAAATGCTGTTACTTTGCATCACAAAAAAGTTTGCACTGACAATGATATCCTTGGAGAAGACAATGATGGATAAAATTAGTGCATACAAAGAATGTAATATTACTAATACGTTTTTACCTGCAAGACATTTTCTGGCTTTGATTCAGTGAAATCCATTATCCTAGGTGATAATGGAACCCTGTATGCTAGTCATCTCAGGTATGTTCAGTCTCCTGAGCTGCCCCAAAGCCTTGACATAATAAAAGGTCAAGCAGATCCAACTAAGCATTTATAAACTACACTCACCCCATTTCAACTAGAAACCACACATTCTCCTGCTGAGCTCCGCTCACTCTCATTTCATTGTATAAGCAGGCTAATTTTGAAATGGCTTGTGTAGGGTCCTCAGCAACACCTTGATTGTCAAAACAATCCTACTTCTCCACTTAATCATAGAAACAGCTATAACAACATTTGACAGAACCATAAAATGGTGCCTCGATACTGAAGGAATGAACAGCAAATAGCAACACTATTAAATGAAATGAATGCATTTCACCTTCCAGCTGGGCTGTGCTGCCTGAGACACAAGGTATAAGCATGAAAAGGTTGGAGTGGAATTTCAAGAAAACCGATTTGTTTCATCATTCATTTGCAAGATGCTGGATGTAAAATAATACAAGCCACCTCCCTCTCCCATCATTTTAAATTCAAGGCCCTCAATATCACTCCCCACAAACCCAATTAAAAATAAAGAGCCAAGCTGTGGATCAGCATCCAGCTCTATAATAAAGATCAAATGATAGGCATCTGTCCTAATTGGTCACAACGGAACTAAGGAACAATAACGAGAATAAATCTCACATTAATCAAACTGAAGCCCATGAATAATAATACAAACCAGAAGCATAGTTTCAAAAATATGCAATTACTTCCACTCATTCAAGGGCATTTATAATCCATAAAAACGACAGTAAAGCAAGCACATGCTGCATATAAATATGCTTCGTACATGCAATATAAATGCTAAGTAACGTGTATACATAATATGAATAACCACAAGGAATACATGTGTATGTTCACAATCAGTCTATGGGCAAAAAATGAAACTCCAAATCTGGCAAATGGTTTTCCAACAAGAGGGCATCAGAAGATGAAACAGAAGGCTAAATCCTAGGGACCCTTAGCAAAACCCATTTATAATTAGACCAAGAAGAATGAGCCACCAAATGTGCTACTGAGGAAGGCCCAACCCTATTTGTGAGGGCTGCAAATGAAATGACTCCTTTCAACAGCACCGTTTTCTTCTTAGCTCTTTTTCCACCCCCTGATTTTGTTACTGAGCTTGGGAGGAAAGGAATCCAGTGGCTCAGTCTGTATTCTGAGCCAATTTACGAGAAAAATCAGAGTACCATTTTTTTTTTAAACACAGGCAGACGCCTTCTCACTTCTCTCTCTTCCTGGCAACCTTCCTCTCCCTCCATCCTCCTCCCCGTCACATCTCCCCTCCTAGTCTGAGAGACAGGAGTCATTGTTCAAGTCTAGGCCACAAATGTACACACAAGTCATTTAACAACGAGCTCTACTACAAAGGTAGCCCAGCTCTCTCCTACTCACCATGCTGAGACCCGGAGGAGCTGCTGAAAAGAGGGAGAGATGTAGACTGAATCCATTTTCCTTGTGACCGAGTCGGATGCAGCCTCCGAACCCAACATCAGCAGTGAGCGCTGGGATTTTTTTTTTTTTTCCTCGGGTGTCTGGTTGGCGATGGTGCGAAGTGGAACCACCCTTCCAGCCCCTCTAGAGAATCAGCAGTGGAAGCGGCAGCAGTGGCTGGAGCAAGGCGGGCAGCATCACCACTAAGGCCTCCTCCCTCTTGGAGGATGGGGTGAGCTCAGAAGCAGCCAGGAACTTGCAGCAGACACCTCCTCTGGCTCCTCCTCTCCCTCCCCCACCCCACGGCCCCACCCCTGCTGCGGAAGAGGCCGTCATCCCCGCAGCTGCTGGTTGTCATGGCAATGACCAATAATGAGCAGCGGGCTAAGGGGAGGGGAGGGGTTGGAAGGCACTGGGAGGGGAGGGGGCACCGTGAGCAGCCTGGATGGACTGAGGACAGCGAAGTTGAGCTTCGGCCTCTGAGGTGCTTTTCGTGTCTCCTACCCTGGACTCCATCAGGTCGTTAGAGGTGGGGCAGGGGCAAAAGGCGCGGGAGGAGAATAATTGAAAATTTAATAGAAATCTAGATTGAAACACACGGAACAGCTTAGCTATAGTCTTTGCATTTTTCTGTAGCTTTCAAGTAAATTATGTTAAATTTGCAATCAGGAAAAGAAAGAATAAATGTAGAACAAATTACATTGTACGACAGCAGAGTATTATTCAAATTTGTTCGTCCTTGATAGTATATTGTAGGCAATGCCACTCAAGGATGTTCGAAAGCAAAGCGAATGGTTGGACTGTGCAGTAAACTAACAGCCTGCCGGCTTTGCTCTACTCCGGAATGGCTCTCAGGTGAGTCGCTGACGTCACTGCTCTAGCCTCTCCTCTGAAGAGGACCTGGAGTTTTCGGCACTGCCCCAGGAACAGCGATCTTGAAGCGAGGAACCCGAAATTCCTTTAAAGAACCAAGGTTCTCAGCAGCACCAGGAGGTGGACAGTTCCCAATCCTTTTAGTGTCAGACTCCTAGAGTGTTCAGTTTCCTGCAGGTGATTCCATGCTGTTTTCATGGATGACCTTTTGGAGTTCAGAAGCCAGCTGGCAATTGGGTTGGCAGGTAGGAAAAAGGAAAATGAAATTGGCTTTGAGGAGCTCTAAGCATGTTGCATGTTACTATAAATTATAGATGACTCTAGTACTTATCTCACGCAGCAGTTGTAGATTTCAGTCATACCCTGAAAGCATGTGGCATGTAGTAAGAGTACAATAAATAGCTCCTATTGTCATTATTACTAGTACTGTAGTAGTATATTGCAATTATCATTTAATCTAAAGGTTTTAGGAAAGAGTTTGGCGTGTCAGGTAGAAGGAAAATTAAGTGAAAACACTAAATACATGATAGTGATGATGATGATGGTGATGATGATGATGGTGGTGGTGATGATGGTGGTGGTGGTGGCAGTGAAGACATGGAGGCCCTAAACTTGACAGGTGATGATGTTGTAAATCTTGCAGCTGTTAAATTTCCCAGATTTACATGGCTATCAAAACTGATACTTCTAACAAGATCATTTGCTCTTGTAATAACTAAACTTTTCCACCATTTCTCAACAGAATAAAGATAATCTTTGTCTTCCCTTGCAGTTATTTCAAAACTCAAACAGGATTATAGATTTCACAGTCAGTCAACCTAGACTCTAATTCTGGTGTTGGTATATACTAAAGATACATTTTAGGACCAGTTAATGAACTTTGCGGAACCTATGTGTCTTCATCTATAAAATGGACATAATCACAGAGACTCATGAGTCATCATGAAAATTAAATGAGAATTAGTATGCAAAGTGGTAGCAGACTCTGTCATGCCTTGTAAGTGTTCAGTAAATATTGGCCAAAGTTCATGGCAATTACTTGTGCTCTTTCATAAGTAATAAATATGGGAGCATGATAAAACTTTTCCCTGCATGGGGTCGCTCTTATTCTGACAAGACTGACTGGAAAGTGACCAGGGAGGCCAAGAAAAGAACGTTGGTGCTGCCTTCAGATACTACTCTCTCATTTCCTCATCATATCCACGGTGCACCACTATGATTTGATAGTAGTTTTCTTTAAATACTTATTTTTGTGATTTACTTTAATTATTTGCTTCATATTTATGTTTAAATGAAATTTGTCTCTAAATTAAAATTAGAGGGCTGAAGGGCTGGGCACCAGAAAATCAAACCAAAACCCAATTGTTAATATTTTTCTTTTTAGTAAAACAGAGATTTCAAATTTACTTATAGAGATTTTTAATTAAAAAAATTTACATTTTCACTCCTCTATGTTGTCCTTTCCTCTATTACCACACTTTATTTTTCCATGTGGTACATAAATTATATATAATTAATAGGAATATTATAATATAGTGTTATAATATGGAGTAAAATGTAATACAGTTTAATAATGGGAGCGTATTCTGTGATATAATGTACAATGTACCTTACAATATTCATAATGTACTATATTATTTACTTGTTTTTAAATTTTTTTTGAGTCTCCCAACTAGAATGTAAACTATAAAAGAATAAGCATTTCTGCTTACTTGAGTGTTTATTTGTGACCAGTGCTAGGCCTTGCCAGGTGATCATAAATGTTTGCTAATGAATAAATGAGTAAATAAATAAAATAATAAACTTATATAGTGACTCATGGCTGGATGTTATTAAATATTATTTGTCCCTATATATATATTTAATACATATATATTTGATAACTAAAGGTGAAGATGATTATACTGCCTTGTTTAGCATATATGCATATTAGATTAATGTCCATGCACCACTGATTTTTAAAATTGCTGTTAAAATGTTTATGCATTTATACTAAAAACCTGTAGCACACCCTCACTGGTGTGCATGGTGCTCTTTAGGAAACAATTATTTCTTTCTAGCAGCTTATGGTCCAATAGTACGATGGTGATCAGACTGTTTACCTCTACAGGGACTCTTCCAGCTTGAATTCTGAACTCTGTGAGAATCTAAAAAAGTACAAGTTGTGTGTCTTGGCTCCAAAGCAGCATTAAACTTTCAAAGATACCACAGCAAAAATGGGAGGGAGCTGTTCAGGGTTGGTTGGGAGACAGAGTGCCTGGATTTGATCTAAGTTATACTACTTGTTTTCTGAGTGACCTTGAGAGTTTGCTTAAAAATTTTGTGCCTCAGTTTCTTCATCTATATGACATATATCACACTTATCCCATCGGTTGTGCTATTTTGGAACTCAAAGTTGTTTGTGTCAAGTACTAAGGAATATCTACTATGTGACAAAAGATAAGTTAATATCCTTATGAACATAATTTTAACAACTGCAGTTATTACATTTGGCACATTTTTCTAGATTGCCAAAGCACTCAGTTCACTTGGGGCTTTTCTCAATGCTTGCTGTTATGCTTGCAGTCTTGATGTGCGCAGATTTTGAGGAATTCTGGAGATGCTTCCCACAAAGATAGGCAAATGCCCTGATTTCCTCAAACAAGGTGCAAAAAGAGAGTTCAGATGTGACTGTCATTTATCCTGTCTATAAAAGTTTATTAGTATATTGTATATTTACAAAGAGTTTTAAATGTAAGCAGTAAGGATTGCTTGAGTTGACAAGGAATAAGGATGAGAGTCTGATCTTATTACATGTCCTTATTGACAGCTTAAGTGAGTCAATGGATTGGAGTATCCTGTGATCTCTACATTCCTAACACTGTGACTTCTCGCATAGCAGTTGGACATTTCTGCCTTAGTGCCATGGTTTTGATGAATGTCTCCCAAGGCCCATGTGTTAAAGGCTTGTTTCGTGTGGTAACATTGGGTGGTTATAGAAACTTTAAGAGATGGAGGCTAGAAACAGGTCTTTAGGTCAATACATTGAGAGTGTGCTCTGGAAGATTGCAGAACTCTGGTCTCTCCCCCTACCCGCTCTCTGTCTTTCCCTCTCTCTGTCATAAATTGAGCAGTTAGTTCCACTGTACTTTCCCTCCATTCTGTGCCATACTTACTTACCAGGGACCCAAAGCAATTTCAGGCCATCTTGTCTTGGACTGGAACCTCCAGAATCACAAGCCTAAATAAAACTTTTCTTTCTGTAAGCTAATTGCCTCAAGTATTTCTTTCCTAAAAATTTGTTGAAAGAGTCTACCTCCTCCACTTCTCTAAATACATAAACATACAACCTTTTTTCTATGTTTTCTTCTGTTAAATTATTTGGAGCATTAAACTTTATCAATAGCTAAGGAATTGACAAGCTGTATGAGATGGGAAGACATGAAGTCAAAAGACTAATTTTCTTAGAGTACAAAAGGAGGTACAGTGTTGGCAGTGACCACTGCTCAATTAGAGATTCATTAAAGAGGATTTACATGATAATAAAACCTTTGCTCCAATGCAAAAGCAAGAAACAGCTTTTTCCTTTCAAGCACTGGGCCTTAGACTTAACAGCAGACAACACATAGGCTTTGGTTACAAAAAAAAGGCAGGGACACTAAAAAAAATCATAAAACTGTCTGCTTCCATAACCTTTTCCAAACTTTTTTTACAGTCAGAAAATCTAGAAATATGGCAGGTTAATTTCAGTAAAGGTGCAAGATTTATTCTACTTGCAATATAGTTTTTATTTTTAGGAATCTATGTGAAACACCATACTTTTTATTATTTTTATACTGTATTGTCTTAGGACTCAAAATGTCTTATTACAGCCCTGAGAGTAAGAATACAAGCCTTGAAGTACAAGAAGCACACTCACTTATCTTTCAGTAAACAAGGCAGACGTAATTCCTGGCCTGTGCAACTTGGATCATTAAAAAACAAAACAAAGCACCTCACTAAAGTTGTGGCAAATTGCCCTAAGTTCTATGAAGCAAAGAAAGAATGTATAAGGTCCCAGGAGTGTTCAGTATAGGAATAACTCTATGGAATGACATTAATCTGAGATATGAAATTTGGTTTACATTTCTCACGTAAGAGCAGAGAAAAGAGGGTTTCTGGTGTAAAGATGAGCCCCTGAGGAGAAGAAAAGCCAGAAATGAAAAATATGTTTTTCATAGAATTGATTATTTACATTTTAATATCTCCATACTATTCAGTCTTCAAAAACAACGTACTTATTGTCAGGTGAAGAAGCTGAAAACCAAGACCATTGCAAGCTGAAAACCAGAACCATTACAAGCCTTTATTGTAGGGACAATCTGCCTGGCTATCTCTGATCAAAGGAGAGCCATATGGTAGAACAGAGAGCTTCCTCTATAGGATTGGGGTGGGGCTTCTAGCAGCTGGG